GTTCAGGTCTCTCTTCCTCTTCTGATAAAGCCACCAGTTTCTCTCCCATGATAACCCATTAATCCATTAATCCACGAATGAACTAATGTATTCACGAGGGCAGAGCTCTCATGATGCAAACACCTCTTAGAGGCTCTGCCTCCCAGTACTGCCACATTGGGGATTAAGTTTCCAACACATGAAATTTAGGGGACACATCCAAACCACAGCAGCCCTGTGGCCCGCCTTGGTCACCAGCCCTCCTTCCCTGAGGAGAGGAGCTCATTCTTCATCCTGTGGCCAGACCCTGGGGCGGGACTCTGGTCTCCACCTGGTCGAGGGCCGCCTGGTGCTCCTGCTTCCCCTCCGTTCTCCGAGCCCCTCAGCCTGGCGACGAAGCTCTTTCCTGCTCAGGGTGAACAAAGCCCGTCTCTGTTGCTTGCAACCACAGAAACCCAGCAGATTAGACCGTGAACCATACTGGCTCTGCTCTGACTCGCCACATGGGCCTGGGGAAGATGACCCTTCTCTGAGCCTCAGTTTCTCCATCTGCACATGTGAGCTCACCTCCGACGCTGACGCCTCACAGCCCCACAGCTGCTTTGGCCGTCACAGCACATGTGGACCGGAGCGTCCAGTGTGGAGGATCGGCTGGGCCTTCCCTGCCCTGGTCCCAGAGGTCTAGGGGGCGTGTTTGGTGGAGGAGAGGAGGTAATGGCTGGGGGGTCCTTAGTTCTGCCGCCTGCCATGCGCACCGGGGTTATCAGGCGCGCTCGGTCCCAGCTAAGCTGCTGCTGTAGCGGGAGGTGGCCGGGCTCTCCCTAAGCCGTTGTGCTTCAAGCTTTCGAGACTCTGACAAAGGCTCTGGATGCTCTCCTTAGACGAAAGCATCTCTGTCTCTCTCCTCACACACACTTTAACGTACAGCTTCCAGAGGACAGCCAGGGACGGCCTTCAGATGCCTACCTGCCCCTATGGGGACCCGCCTGTGGGTTTCCAGAGCAGGTCGCCAGCTCTGCCACATGAGTGCCGTGGCCGGGCCCTGCGCCAGGCGCTGTGTTAGCCTTGGCCCGTTTGTGCTGTCCACCCGTGGAAGACAGCGTTTGAGGCAGAGATTGCTGTTTCGCCACGCCCTGGGTCGTGGTTCCCTCCTGGGCACGCGGCCGGACTGCGTTTCCCTCGTCCCCTGCAGTCAGGAGAGGCTGCGCGGCTGAGCTCCGGCCGGCAGAACGTGAGCCGAGCGGTGCACCCCTGCCCCTTCTAGCCTGGTCCAAAACATGCTTCCACGCCACCGCCACGCGCTCTTTCCCCTTCCACGCGAGTGCTAGGTGATGACAGGGCTACAGGGGAGAAGGAGCCTGGGCCCCTGGGGACCGCATGGAGCAGGACCCCTGCCTCTCCCCTCTGCCAGCCCACAGTAGACTGTAACGTGAGCAAGGAATAAACTTTTCTTTTGGGGCTGCTTTTACATCTCTTATGACTAATGTAACATTTTTATCATCCCCATCCGGGGAGGTTCTCCTTCATTTAAAAAGAATTCATCTTAGGGCTCCTTTAAAACAGCAAGCCCCCTGCTGCCTTCAGCCTGGGCCCCAGCCCGAGCCCAGCGCCTGCCTGGACCTCAAGCGTCTTCTCCAGGTCCGTGATTTATGGCGACTCTGGGCTTCACCCCCTGCCCTCAGGCCCTACCCTGGCTGTCCTCGGTTCCTCCTGTCTGTAGTCTGTGGCCTTCTTCTTCCAGCCTGTGGCCTCCCGTTGGCTTTGGCTTTGTCTGGGGTCGAAAGACCAGGGTTCAGGGTTCAGCAGTATATTTTTTTTCCATCTCCCTGACAAATAGCTCCCTGTGGGCAGGCCCTGGGGCTGGCTCTCCCGGATTCTCTCCTGCCCAGCGGAGGAGGAGCACACAGGGCTGCTTCTGGACGCTGTGGTCTTTGCCATTCTGGAGCATGCAAGGCCCTGGGAGGGTTGTTCCCAGAATCCCATTTCCTGGGGCGCTTGCATTCCGGAGAGATAAACTGCCTTCTGCTCACTGCTCGTTTCCTAAGTGAGCTACCGCGCTTCAGCAGGAGGGTGGAGGCCAGGTGGCAGAGCCCAGGGTCCCTGCCCACCCCCATGGCTGTGAGACTGAGGGACAGGGCAGCGCCCCCATGCCACCCCACTGTGGGAAACTCTTTCCATTGCTGTTCCTCGGAGGAAGGACCACCTCCCACCTGTTTAATAATTAAATGAGTCTCCAAACTACCAGTTACCAAACGCTTTAGCCCTTGGTAATTTTCCAAATAATAATAATAATAATACCACCACCAACTCTACTTGCTGCGTGTCAGGCCCCATACTAAGCAATTTGCATCCTAGATTTTACTCATCCTTCATACCAGCCCCTGGGGATAGATTACTCGCCCCATTATACAGATGAGGAAGTTGAGGTTCAGAGTGCCTCTTGCCCACCAGCCCCCAGGACCAGCTGCCAAGGCAGTGGCAGAGGGCCAGCCAGGCTCCTGCTGTCACGGCCTGGTTTTCCTACCGGCCAGCAGTGGAAGTGAACCCTGCTGGGTGACAGGTCCCTCCCAAGGGGGCCCCCAGGCTCCCAAGCGGACTGGCACTTGGTGGCCTCCCTCTGCTTTGCTCCTCCCTGGGCCCCAGCCCCGTGGTCAGCTGCCAGCCTGTCTGACCCCGCCCTTGAGCCTGTCCCCTCTCCCTCTCTGGTTCCCACCTCTGTTTCGTTTCTCCCGAGCACACCCGGAGCTGTGCCTCTCTGAGGTTGTGTGCTCACTTTGCAAAACAGCAGAAATTTATAGCCCAAGTAATTGATCACGGTGCTTCTGCCTCCTCCATCTCTCTCGGTCTCCTAATTCCCTTCTCCCCGCTCTTCCTTCTCTTTTTTCTCAGCGCGCCATCTGTGGTGTCAGAGAGAAGGAAGCCAAGGGGGGGGGGTGTTTCTAGTCCCTATTCTGCCAATTACGAGTCACATGAACCTCAGTTTCCCCATCCACTAAACAGAGAAGCTAATAATACCTGCTCACAAGTGCACAGGGTGCCGCGGCTGCTGGGCTGTGGGGAGCAGCCCTGTGGGGTGGGGGGCGGGACTGGGGCCTCCTTCCAGGTGGGGACACCACGGCCACAGAGCTTGAGTCATCTGCTCAGGGTCACAGAGCTGGTAGGCAGCAACCCTGGGGCTTGAACCCAGCTCAGCTGTGCATCAAAGCCCAAACCATGAGGCCACCTCGCCTCCCCATCCCAGGGCCAAGCAGAAAAGGGGTGACCCTCGTCAGGCCTCCCCAACTTCCACTTTATCCTGGGGCTAACTGTGGGGAAGGGGGAGAGGCCACGGGAGCAAGGGCAGTGCTTTGCAAACTGTCGAGTGCTGTGAGGACGAAGAAAGCCTCACAATTGTCTCCATCACTCTTCAGCACTGGCCCCTCAGCTGTCTGGGAGACTCTCTGGGACCTAAGAACCTCCTTGGCCCTCAGACTCCTCCTTTCCTTCCAGAGAAGCTGCATGAACAGGGGCCTCCTGCCAGCCAGGCCCCCACACCTGCCAGCCTGCATAGAACCTTCCAGAATGACCCACAAAAGGACTTCACTCACTCTTGCAAGGCAGATGAGGCACCAAGCCTGGGATGGGAGCTCCAGATCCCCACTCCCCACCCCACTTAGCCTTGCAGGCCTGGGCTGGAAAATGCCCTCCTGACCCCTCCAGCGCTGCCCCCTTCTGTTCAGCTGGGGGGGAACACGTGCTTCCAGGGGGCAACTTGTCTTTTTCTCCCTTCTCAGTGGGGCTTTGTCTCTGTCTCTTGCCCCTGGCCTCCAGCTGGCAGGTACAGACTTGCTTCCCTCCTGTGCTGGTCCCCAAGGCCAAGCACGACTCTGTGGGTGCTCGCATCCAAGTGCGCCCCTGCACGCAGCGCCCAGCCTCCCCCCTCCCCCCTCCCCGGGGACTGCACCAGGCAGGGCGGTGGGCACGTCTGTCCCCTGTCAGGCGGGTGGGGACCGCAGGCCGCAGCCCCTCGGGCTGCCTGCTCCCGCCTGGCTGGCGGAGATGAGAGCGGCTGCAGGGCTGGGAGCGAGGCGGCAGCACACAGAACAAACAGAATTTTTTTTTTGCAACTAGAGGGGGAAGCACAGAGCTAAAAATAAAACGAAAAGATCAGTATCTGTCAGTCTGACAGCTGATTGGCTGCTCGGAGATGCATATAATTACCAGCAACTGGCGCTGGGTAGGCAAAGCCGGGAGAAACTGCTGAGACGAGGTTAGGATTTAACCTTTAAATTCTGGAGCCACCGGAAACCGAGGGGAGGACGCTGGGCGTCCGTGCTAATGAGGCTGGGGGTGGGCGGTGGGCGGTGGGCCGCCGAGGCTCGGCAGGCCCCGGGGGCTCCCCTGGGAAGGCCCTGGGAGCCCTCACCCAGGGCTGCCTCCGCCATCAGACTGGGAGTGCCTCTGATTGGCAGCCAGGACGGTGGTCCTTCTCCCCGCCCAGCTGGGGGTGTTGTCTCCGGGAAGTTAGGGTCTCACCTGGGAGGCAGGGAGGGAGGGGGCTGCCTGGGTCCCTAGCCCCTCCCAGCCTGGCGCACCCCATCCCCACCCACATTCCTCTGCCTTTCCCGCCTGGTGTTAATTTCCGACACCCATCCTGCTCCCCTCCATCCTTCACCCCAGTCACCCCTGTTCCTGGCTCTGTTTCCTGCCCCACCTGGGAAGGGCACCTAGACACAGACAAAGCTGCAGGAGTGGAGGGGTGTTGTGCTCTCACTAAGCCTCAGTTCCATCTGTCAAGTGGGAGCCATGATAACAGTGCCCGCCTGGCCGCTGGGCAGGTGTCCTGGGTGATTTGGGCCCAGTCTTGCATCTTCATTCTGTCACCTGGGCCAGGAGTCAGGAGATCCAGGTTCTAGTCCAGTTGGGAGTTGTCATTTTCTCTCTTATCTCTGGTGTCCTCATGTGCCAATTGGAAGGAAGAGAACCTGCCCTCTGACTTCCCTGGGTGGCAGTGGGAACCAAATTAGATGGGGTATGTGACCATGGGCAGTACTTGGCACCTGCCTGGGGAGGTGGGATGGAAACTTGCAGATCTTTGAACCTGCCACTTTGTTCTAGGCCTTTGCCCAGGCTGTGGCCTCTGCCTGGAACTCCTTTCCTTCCCACTCTAGCCCTTCCCACCCGTGCCTCTTCCTCCAGGAAGCCCTCCCTGGTGTCCCAGTAGGTCCTCTTCCGCTGCCTCTGGGATTCTCACCCCACGCTCAGGCCCTGATTGTCTGCTTTGCACACAAGACTGTGAGCCCCACGAGGGCAGGAAACACAGCCGTTCACAGTTGTGTTGCCCAGCAAGGGCCTGGCCCAGAGCTCCTCAGGAAATGAAACACCTACATCCTCTGCTCTGCTCTGTGGCCCTGGGAGCCAGGTGGAGGCAGGAGCCACCCTGGCCACTGTGCCCAGGCTTGGGGCGAGCAGCGGCCGCAGCTGAGGGGCACCGTCTTTCCCCAGCACATCAGTGGGGAGCATGCTCCCAGTGGGCCCCAAGTGCTACAGAACTCCGGGCTCTGCCCTGTGAGCACTGATGCCCAGGGAAGCTGCCCCTTGTGTGTGCCCCTGTGGGGCAGGAGTAAGCACGGTCCCAGGCCGTGTTGCCTCCTCCTAAGAAAGTTCCCGGTTTACCTGCCCAGCCATGGCCCTTTCCCTGTGCGGTCTGGAACGGTGGGTGGAGCTGCCATTGAGGGGTAGGACCTAGAAAACCCGCACCGCCCCGCACTCCTGCTGGGGTGGGGTGCGGAGGGCAGGGGTGTGGAGGCCGAAGGAGATGGTGGTGGCTCCCACATGGGGTAAGTAGCCTGGCTATGTGTCCGCCTCCCTCACATGCTTTACTGGGGTTGTTTCCTGGAATCCCCACAACGGCCCCCTGAAGGTGGTGCAGTTGTTCGTGATTTGCGGATGAGGAAACTGAGGCACACAGTAGTTAAGCAGTGTGCCCGGGGCCCCTAGCCAGGGAGGACAGGCTGGCTCCAAGCCAGTCCTCTGTCTCGCAGGACAGGCCCAGCAGCTCCTGCCTCTCTGATAAGGATAGAAGGGAGGGAGGGGAGGTATTTCTGAAGCAACTGCCATGAGACCTTCGGGGCAGAGAGTCTTGAGAACATTTTTGTGTACGGCGTGCAAAGGAATTCCCCTTTGGTGTCTCTTTACAAGATTTCGGGAAGATTTAAACTGTGTTCTCATCCCGTGTTATTTCCTTACAGCCTAATGTCAGAATCTGTTTGTGTCTGCACCCACTGTCTCCCTGTGTTAGGCAGTGAGCTTGCTGAGGGCTTCAGTCTCCTCTCTCCCATTCATGGCTGGGTCCCCGGCACCCAGCAATGCGTGGAGCAGCTGGTCGGTAAAGCTTTGCTGGACACATTTCAGATGAAGAGATTGAGGGTCAGAGAGATCACATGGCTTGCCAGTAGGAAACCTCAGATTTGTCTGACTCGAGAGCTCAAATTCTGACTACCACCCCCCACAGCCACTTGAGAGACCCCCGCCCACTTCAAGGGAGCCTCAGAACCTGAGTTTTGGACTCCCTCCCTTCTGCCCCCTGCCCACCAGCTTCTTAGACTTACGCTAAAACCAGTGAGGCTTCTAACCTGAATCTGCCTGCCACCTTTTCCTTGCTTATCTAGGAACTGGACAAAAGTTGGCCAGAGTCAGCTTAGTCTTGGGAAAGTTGCATTCTCCTGGAGTCCCCCAGTTTTGCCTTTTTCGTACGACCTGATTGAAATTTTCCATCTTTGTTACTTTCAGAAGCAGTTTTTGCAGTGGACGTGACCTACCATGTGATTACTAGCCCGGGCAATTCATATACGCAGTCGATCCCTGTTGTTTATCTCTGTGATGGGGATCCTGGTTTGGGGGGCAGGGGGTTTAAGCAAGCGTCTCAGTGAGGCTGAGGGTTATAAATCAGAGACCCTAATGGTTAAGAACTTGGCTGTGCCACTGAGTGACCTTGGGAGCCTCGTTTGACCTCTCCGAGTCTTGGCTTCCTCATTTGTGAAATGGGGACAGGCTGCCATGAGTTCAGTTGCGCTCATGCATGGAAAGTGTCTTGACTGATGCGAGGCCATGAGACCAATTCAACCATCGCCTCGGCTGCCAGGGGCATCCTGCGTGTGCGCGTTAGAGTTTACGAGGCTCTGTTTGTCCTAAGCTACTGTCCGACCGTGTGTGGGCCCATGGGTTCTATAGATGCAAGGCCCCTGCACGACCTCTCTCCCCAAAAGACCACGAGCCTGTCTGGGTCCGGAGACCCCCCTGCGTGGGGCTGACGTGGGCACGTCTCCACAGCTGGGTGTGGAGTGTTCCAGTGAGTGTTCTCTCCAGTCAGACAGGAGCGTAGGGTCCCAGGAGGTCATCTCCCCCGCCTTACCCTGGACCCTTTGGAAGCAGCTTTCCAAATGTCCTGAATTCCTGTTCCTTTATATCTGGTCTAGTACAAGCTCGTCAGGAGCTTGGCCAGGGTTGGGCGGAGAAAGAAGTCAAGCTTTTTCTTAAAAAAAAAAATCACATTTTCCACTAATAATACACAGTCGTTATCTCTACACTTTAAGAAATATTGCTTTGAAAAAAACCTGTCTGAACACCAAACAGAGCCTGAGTGCCCGCCGCGTGCTCGGCCTTGCACTCGGCCCTCCGAACGCCAGACAGCGAGGCCCCGCCTGTGGGGGTCTGTGCTCTGCGCGGGGCCAGGCTCTTCCCTCGCCGGGGTCATCCCCATTGCGACCCCATGAGGTGTGGCCGGCAGGGACCGGCCATTTCCCAGATGAGGGGGAGGCGGCACAGAGGGCTGGGGGCCCCGCCTGAGTCCCGCAGTGGGAAATGTGGGAGCCGGGCTGTGGCCTGCGCCCTGGGCATCCTGGTGGATGGGGTGAGTCCTGTTCTGAACCCGCTGGGCTCAGCTTGTTGGGGACACGCCCCACCCACAGACAGACTTTGAGTTCTGGCTGTGGGGCCCCAGGCACACTTGGTGAGCACAGACACGAACCAGACATGACCCCTGCCCTGGAGTCGCTCAGGTCTCCTAGGAGAGGGGACACATCAACAGAGCAGTGAAAACGTGGGGCGTAGCAGGAGCATGAAGGCTGCAGAACAGATTCATCCCGTTCATGATCGTCAAAATAGCCCCTCGGACCTTGCTTAGAAATAGTGCCCTGGGCCGGGCGTGGTGGCTTACACCTATAATCTCAGTACTTTGGGAGGCTGAAGCAGGAGGATCACTTGAGTTCAGGAGTTCGAGGCTGCAGCGAGCTTTGATGGCGCCACTGCACTGCAGCCTGGGCAACAGAGTGAGATGCTGTCTCTTAAAAAAAAAAAAGCCACTGTACCACCCCTGCCCCCATCGCATGCCCAAAGGTGACTTCCAGTCCGGAATGGAGAAGACACAATCCAGTCTTCATGGGCTCCAGGATGTCGCAGACTGAGGAAGCCTGTTGAGGCAGAGGCTACAAGTTGAGTTGCCGGTTAACCACAGCACCCGCTGTGTCCCTGCACTTCTGAGCTCTCACCTTTCACCTTTGAACTCTCCTGACCAGTATCTCCAAGGCCTCAAACCTCCTGTAGTTGTAGGGTGGAGGTGGGAGGGACAGGGAAGGGAAGGGGTCTGCCTAGAAGGAGCCAGGGAAGCAGACCGGGGTGGAAGCCCCCGGAGATACCCCACTCCCTGGAGTGCTGCTGGGCTGGCCGCACCTCGTCTTGCTGCGGGTTTCTACGAGGAATTCGAGTGCGTCTGCGGCTGGTTTCTGCCAGACTTGCCTGAAAACCTGCAAACAAGAGCCCACATGTCGTCCTCAAGGACAGCTTGTGCAGAGCACGTGGGGCGAGGAGCATCTTGTAAAAGAACTGGGATGTGAGCACGTGGGCCCTGCCCATCCTGGGCCTCCCGGGGCCGCCTGTGGCCGCCCGGCCTTGCCACCAGCCACCCGCAGCAGCAGCAGGGCCGGGTGGGGGTGGGGAAGCGCTGACTTCATTTTAAAGAAAAGAAAGCAAGTGCCACTACTGAAAAATAGTTGAGACAAATGCCCACCCTCCATAACTCAAATTTCCAAACTCATTCCTGTCTGCATTCCCACGGGAGAAGATCCTCCTGCCGTTATGTGCCCCAAGGCCCATGTTGGCCCAACAAGCAAACTGCGTTTGTTCAGGAACAGAAGCTTTCTCATTCTGGGTTAACAAGGGCAATGATGATGCCAGCTCAGCCCCCACCAGTTCCGAGAGTCTGAACAGGCACGGTGGGTTGATACAATCCCATCCAAAGCAAAGAACCGTGATGCATGGAGTCTGGAGTGGTCTGGCCCTCAGGAAAGGTGCAGACACTGTCGGGGACTTTGAGAGGCTAGAAATAGCATGCCCTCCCCAGAGAGCCTTCGAGAGCCCTTGGGAAGCCCGGATTGGGAAGCACTGGGCTAAGCCAGTTGGATGGAGGTGCAATGTGACCATCCCTGTGGTCACTCCCACTTCCCCATGAAGGAAGTCCTCACACAGCAGGGTGTCCGGGGAGAGTTCGGGGGCTGTGGGCTACCCCATCCTGACTCTGCCATGTGTGGGGTGACTCTGGCCAGATGGCTTCCCCGCTCTCATCCCCGGGTGCCCTCGCCCCCTGCTGGGCTGTGAGTGCTCTGTGGGGGCTGGGTTTCCTTACCGCCATTATGTCTTGCTCAGGTCTCCCGCCCGCCTGCCCTGTCCTGCCACGGTCATCTCGCTGGAGTTCCGTGAAGAGAGAGGGACGCAGTGGGACAGAATAGTCATGGAAATGGTCCTAGGAACTCAGCCGCGAACCCCTCTGAGAAGCCCGAGGTGCTGGAGGGGAGGGAGGAAGGCAGGCACGGCCGCCGTCAGGGGCAGGCTCAGGGCACCGTGCCACCAGGTGTGGCCAAGCTCCCCCCAATGTTAATGTGTCTCGAGTCACTGTGGGACTTGTCCGGAGGCAGGCTGTCATGCAGTGGCCTGGGCAGGGGCTCCCCTGAGCAGCGAAGGTGTCGTGGGTTCTCTCCCACCCGTGGCCACTCGGTGTCTGGAAGTGACAGCTCCAGAAAGCCCCAGAATGCCCGCGCCAGGGAAGACGAAGCAACATGAGGGTAAAATTATGTTTTTAACAAAAGAAAAGACCTCTGCCTTCTAGCATGCAGAAAGATTTCTGTTCCCGCCCCCACACAGCCCCAGGGACCTGAAAGAATGTGGTTTTCTGAGCACAGCCTTCCCTGGCTGAAGGGGGTGGATTTGCTCTGAAAAAGTTGCCTGTAAAATGAAATTTTCTACATCAAATGCTATTTTCCAGGGGCCCGTGTTTTAAGACCACAGTTGCGTTCCCACTGAGAAATACCCAACTCGGAGGTGTCGCTGTTCCGTCTGCGGCAAACACGAGCCGGTGGAGAGTTCAAGCGCGCCGGTGGGCGGTGTGGCTGGCGCTGGAGTTTGGGATTCAAAATCTGAATCCCAAGTGTTGCCCAAATAGGCCAAGGTCCCCGGCCAGACACTGGCCCAATACCACTGATCGTAGACGGGAGGGCCCAGAGGTGGCCCTGGGCAAGCCAGCCCCTCGGCTGGTAGAGGAGCCCAGGGACAGGGTCCCATCGTGGCAGAGCAGCCATCTCATCTTGGTGTCTAGTGCCGTAGGTCATACTTCACTTATCAGGCTGTATTTTTGGTTTTATGTTGGGCACAACCGTTTAAAGCGCTTGGGGACCCAGCTGCT